TGGGGGGGGGGTGTAACGGTTGTTCCAGTTTGTAAAAAAGTTACCACAGTTTCAGGAAATGTTCCGTTTCATAAGGAACATATAAATGAATAAGTCTGTGATGGTAATTCAGGCAAAGCTTTTCACAAGTAATTACATCAATAGAGTTGTGCATGTCTTTACAGCGTTACTACAAAGTATCGTTCATATATGTTAAAACTAATCTATATTTTTGGTCATGTTCTTACTCAGTAAACAGCCGTTGCTATAGCCGTTGCTACGTAAGAACACTTATACCACTGTGTACTTTCCTTAAATTTCACATTTATCTAGAGGCAAAGTCGGCAAGATCGTTTCAAAATGTTTTTAACAAGTGTTCGAGGGTCATTTAAATCTTGTATTTTCAAAAAATGGAATTTTTCATGATCATCGCCATATCATAGAGTACATACCACCTTAAGGCAGGGGTTAACATGAAAGCCATATTTTTGCTGGGTATTATGCTTTGAATGCAAATATCTCGTTCACGTTTCAAGCAGTGAAAAATCTTTGTGCTCATTTCACATAGCTACGTTTTGGGCTGTTTTGCAAATTTTTTGGTGATTTTTGGGTATATTTGGGGATAAATAGTTTTTCTCAAAGGATTAGTAAAATTTATGGAAATAGGAAATTTTGAAGATTTGATGTTGTTTTAAAATTAGAATTTGAAGTTAGAAATTGGTAGACGTACGCCAAACAGTTGCCCACCAACCCGGTGGTGTTCCAAACCCCTTTTTATCCTTTTAATCCCTCTTTAAACTTCCTAAAATTTCGCTTAAATTCATGTGTACCCCCACCTTAAGGTGGCTAACGGCTGGTAACAGTTTCCAGCACATTCTGCTAATTTAATAAACTCTAAGGGATCAATACTATCATTCTGTATCAAGTGATGCTGCAATATAGCTATCATATAAACACCCAATCATTGGTGAAATGAATTGATGGTCATCTTCATGACGGCAACAATGTAATCTGTTAAAAACTAAACACCTGTAATTTAAACTTTTAGAACATATTCTAAAAACGACTCGGTGAAAATCGTTGTTAAATTTTTGACTTGTGATAAACATGATATAAATTTTTCCAAAATGAAGTTTAAAAATTCCGTTGGTGTGGTTCAGAACCGATTCAATTTTTCAAAATTGTATGATGGTTTTGAACCCTACTTTATAGTTATCACAAGTATCTTGAAGAAGTGCAATTTTTTTTAGTTTCTCGTGCATCCTGTCTTTGGGGTAAAAAGAGTGAAAAACGAATTGGCGGGAGTAATGAGTCGAGCGCAGTCTGGTGAGGAAGATCCCGGAGGGAGATCACTACTACCAACAGCTCTCTGCTCGCCGATTTCTTTTCTTTGACTTCTTTTCCCTCCTACTACCGAGACTGTACTGTACATACCCTTCAATAACCTCATCTGCAAGACGGGGTAGCCGTTGACAGTCCACACACTTAATGACATTGTGTGTCAAATTGCAGGAACTTTCCCCACGTAACGAAGAACATCTTTCAAATGCCTCTTTTCATATATTCCGATAATAACTTGTAGAGACCATGACTTAATTTTCTCTTGCTTGTAATGGCATTTTTCAGATGCCCCAGTCTTCCAAAAATACCCGTGAACACCACTTTCTTCAACGAAACGCCAGTGCGAATGCTTGACTTTGTGGACTGTTGATTTGAACGGCTATATCTAAATAATTATTTTCTTGATAGATGTTCCACGCAAGTCCCAACCTTCCATCCAGGAAAAGGGTGACCACCCGCGATCCATTCACAGTGGAATGTCGTCGCGCCAGAAGCGAAAAAATAAGTGAGAGCACAACAACACCCACGCGAACACTCGAGGCGACTCGTGCATTCCCGTAAGCTCTTTTAATTTTCAGGGATGGCGTTGTGTATTTTGAATTTGGTGGGCTTACAAGGGAGCCCCATAGCCGCTAACTTGTGGGGGGTTCTGGAGATAATTGTAAAAATATTTTGCTGGAAATTGGGGGGGGGGGGGGCCCCCCTACCCCCCGGCTCCGTTGTCCATGCTTTTGGCCTCCTTTGTTTATTTCGTAGTTTCAATTTTCGGCGCGCTTTTTTGCCATGTCGCGAGAACAACCCTCAGCCAGCTTATCTTACGCGCGTGAAGTCATGGGAATTGGAGCGTGACCCACTTGCTATATTTGGACGCCTTTTTCCTTGTTTGTCTAATGAACAGCTGTTCTGTGATCTTTTTTTTTTGTGGTTTGAAGATCAGCCGTGTACTGTTTTGCATTCTTACGACAGATAACTTCGAATAATATACTGATAAACTCCTCCGTGTGCGCTTTAATTTTAAAGAAAATTTTAAAAATAGCACGCGGGTCCGAGTCGAACAGTAAGGATTTGTTCACTCGTTGAATCCTTTACAATAGGGTTTCAGTCACCACGTAGCGGCTGTCAAATATGATATCAGGTACCTGATATTTCACTTTCTTATTCTTATTAGCTCGCCAAAATGCAAATTTCACCACGTTGCTCTTTCTTGTTTTCAAGTTTTGAATATGTTGTATGATCAAAGTAAAGGAACAAGCAATTTCTTGTGGAAAATGGATCTGAACTGATTAGAAAAATAACATGGGTATTCGAAGCAACAGTGATGTTCAGCGTGATAAAAGGTGTTTAACATTGCAAACATTCTCGAGAGGACGGGATATTGAGTGTCACGTTAGCTAAGCGGAAAAATATGAAATACACTCACATCTTGACGAAACTTCAGCACGAGATTTAATTCCACGAAAAAGTATCGAAACCAATAACCTTTTTTAACCGCAAGCCTCATCGAGGATCTTTTTTTTAATTAAAAGGACTGATCAGAATTACAAAATCTCCACATATCTGTTAACCAAAAACAAAGTAAAGCGAATGTCTGTTCAACCTGGGGTCAGAGTTGTATGATTACACACCCCTTGAAAACGGTAGAAACGTGATAACGCGGTATAAAATGTTCTCTCCTTGTCCAGAGTCAGTTTCAAGAAAAGTGAACAGATCCAGTTAATAAGTATGATTGACTATAGAATAGCTAGATTGTATATTGAGCTTGAAATATAGGCCAACATTAAAACACTACAAACAGATCAGTTTCATCTTAAGATATTTCACAATCGCTTTTGTAAAATTTTCCTCTTTGCCTCTTTCACTTGCAGTTGGTTCTACTAAAACTAAAAAATATAAATCTTAACTTCATCTTCCTGTAGACGAAAGCTGCGAACACCTCCGTGGAATCTGCTGCTGACGTCGGGTTACGAGCGAGCGATAGCCATGGCTCCGGGTCCGCCTTTAACTTCTTGTGCCGACTGAACCAGCATACACAACGGGCAACAGCAAGTGGCCAAGAGGTCGTTCAGGAAGGTACCGTCGATTCCTTTAGCCTCGCGGATCTTGGATCGGATCTGCGCCATGAAGAAGATGTTCGCCAGTGGAACGAACGTCGCCAGTCCACACAGCAAGCAACTGTCTCCGACCGCCTCGGCGTTCTTTCCAGCGGTGTAACAGTGGCAGAAATACGTTACAAGGCAAGTACCACAGTCATCGAAGCAGCCGAACAACCCGTGAGACCAATCTTTTGACATAGCGGATCCAAGGGACTGTAACTGAGCAAAACCAGGCAGAAAATAACGGGAATAGCACGGTACAAAGCAGCTGAAGAGTTTCGCTCTCAAGCCGGACCTCACGAGCTTTATCCGAGACAGCGCCTATGGAGCGACGTACCTCCCTGTTTGATCAGGCTGCTGTCATATGTAATGATTGGCACATGTCACACAAGACAGAAGACAGAATCACAATAACCTTTTGATGGAAACGGAACGCAAATGAGCTTAAAATGCATTCAGTTATGGTCACGTTAGGATTCGTATGCACCAAGCTTTACTCACAGGTTCATAAATTCTGAGAAATACGAGATATCATTTTTTAGAAGTGCTTTCTTATTTTGCCAAGTGTATTAAAGGAAAACAAAATGTGATCAGATCAACATTCAACTGCTTTGTTTTTGGAAATAACTTATGTTAGAACCGAGCTTAATTAAGTTAGTCAATATTCGCGCAAGTCTATTTTTATATTTGCCATCTGCTCTTGAGAAGCTTTTGGAAAGTACAGGCGGGCACGCAGTAATGACTGTTTGACGACAACGGAAATGAAATGAAAGGAAAAGAGTCCATTTTACGTTCTCAGCCTGCAGCAATAGGCAGTAATTAACCTGAAACTGGAAGTTAGACAATGGATATGACGCATTTGAAAGGCGAACCAAGCAGAATACTTCATCAATGCGGAAAATTAGTGAGTGCATTTCTGTTGTGTTTCACAACTCGCGCTAAACTGATTATTAAAATTTCCTTGTGTCTGTGGTTGGTGACACTGACGAAAAGAGCAAAAAACTCAACAGGAGATCTATTCTTTGCCCGAGCGAAGTGGCACGCAAAATTATTTTTTCCTTCAAAAAACAAAGCCTTGACTAAACACTGAAAACCATCAATTGGTATAGTCTGACAAATGAACCGTCTAAAATAAATAGAAACTCACGAAAGAACGAAAGTAATATGGACCGGGAATATGGACTTACAATTACCTGCGCTCAGCCACCCTCTCTTACGCGGTGGCAAGAGAGGGAAATTAGCCTGGTTAGACTGATAAGTGTCAGTTAGTCTAAAACGATTTTTTTTACCTTCGTTGTTTTGCCTCCTTCTCTATTCGTATCAGGAAAATCACAAATAATCGGGTTTTCGAAAGTAATCCATTACTTATTAGTAATCAGTGTTATTGGTAGCATCATAGATACCAGATTCCCTCCGTTATGTAAAGGTGATTTTATTTAATTCCAGGATGCGTTTCAAATTTCATATTTTTGAGAAGAACGCTGACTCATACCGTAGATATCATATATCAGCTGGTTGGAAAAATGAACGATCCAATCAAGAGCGCTATGAGCGAGATGATATTAGCGCGAGGGTCATGCATTAACAGCCAAATTGGCGACCAAATTCACCTCCAGGGACTCTCTTACTCTAGAAGACGGCGGTTCAGCTTGGCTGAGTTTTTACGTCCCGCGCGTCGCAGCGAAAATGGAGAAAACATAAACACTGAAATAAATACACAGGGCCGTGCCACCGGTTCTCCACGTGCTTCATTGTTTTTCGAATGGCACAAGATAAATCTTTGGCACCCAGAGAACGAACGAAAACCTGCGTTTCTTGGTTTAAAAAGGAGTTAACATGGCTTACTGGCATTTAAAGGGCAATCGACATTGATACACTTAGTTTTAACGTCATTGCAGAATTGTAGTTAACACAAAGCACGAGTGACAGAAAGACATTGATTAGCCTGCGTATAGAGTAACGGGTGCATCATGCAGGTGTGAATATATGGCGCGAGTACACGCGAGGACGCGTGGAGGAAACACACGAGTACCACCTCTCGCATGTACTGCCTCTAGGCATGCGCCATTTTCACTCTTAAGGAAAAAAGCAGCAGCTCAGTACAGCTGTAGTGTCCGAGTAGGAAAAATAGCAAATGCCGATAAGGCTACGATGGCAGACCAAATGCAGCTTCCCATGTGACCAATAACTTAAGCTGGCTAACGCTAGAGTTCAGTCCTTGTAAATCACAATTTGCCATGCGCTGATAGAGCATTTCTCGAAAACCAGCCTTTAGTGAACGAACTGCAAGGTCGCCAAAAACGGCTTGAATTGAGTTTTAAGTCGCTCGGCTTCAAAAACAGAGATCTGATATGTGTGATAGCTTCAAATACTGAAGCAGAATTAGTCTAAAACCCAGGCATTGTTCCCAAGCTCACGTGCATGTTAAATCGGTTGGAAAGTTTATATAGATCCATAAATCTCGTCCTCGACCTTCAAGAAAGTAATAAGTATAGGTTTTCCACTTTCCCTTGGAATCTTTAAGTGCGCCGCAAAGGGCATGATTGATCAATTTAACAAGTAACAATTTTTGTAATGAACCAGAACGAGAGACCACCCACTAAGTATTTTTTTTTTTTCAGTTTAACTCACGGAACTCTTTTCCATAAAAGAATAAATATTCTTTGACTTTCCTTTGAATACTCCCATTCTCTTATAACACAATAATCATTAAGACTTGCAGCATTGGCCGGATCTATCATGTTTATACATAACATTTACCGAGATAAATATTATAAAAATAAATTTTCTACAAGAAAGTATAAGACAATTTTATCACATCCCAATTCAAACCCCGATCAATAGTTACAGTTGGGGTAGTTACAAGTTATTCGCAACTTCACAATAGTACAGAAGAAACTGTGAAATGGCATCCTCGTTTCCTGCACCAGTGTTAGCGAGAGAGCGGTGTCCGACGTCTTGAAGAGAAATAGGCAGTGGACGCTTCATACAGGTGTCCACTTCAGGGTGGAGTGGTGTCCGCTGCTGCGAAGTGTCTATTTTAGACAAGGGGCCATGGACTTAGGGAGGTTTCTGCTTTTGAGATGTGTCCACTTTCGAGAGAAGTCCGGCATGAATAGATGAGTCCACTTCTGAAAAGTGTAAGCTGTCGTAAAATGTAAACTCTGCTTTATTCAACAGGTCTTCGATATCGATAGGCGTCAACTTAGAGAAGTGTCCGCTTCAGTGAGCTCTCCACTTCAGTCCGTTCTTGAGAGGCTCTGCGTTTGAGACTTTTCAATAATGATCCTGACAGCGAGACAGATGGACTTCGTCTCTGATAAAAAAACACCGATGCCATTTTGAAAATTGGACATCAAACGTTTTCCATAAGCGTAGTTCTCTTCTGCCGTCTATGCGACAAGTACGTGGAATATTTTGCTCCGTGTTTTATTACCCACGCGTTGATTTTTGCTTCATTTTTGCTGTAAACGTTCAAAAAGATCCCAAGGAGAACAATGAAGCCAGACCAAACGTAACTGAAAACAAAGAACATTACTTGAACAACAACTTTATTAACTCATGCATTCACAGCTTTTCTAGAAAGTATCTATATATAAACAGAAGAACAGAAAAATAACGTATATTTGAGTCTGGAGACTGACGTAACCCGAAAGTTTTCTAGTCAGTCTCCAGTTATTGTAAGGTTTCTATAAATAGAAAGGAGAAAATCAATACAAGTTTTTAGAATGTTGTCCAGACAGTAAATAAAATTTCAGTTGTGTAGAGAAGTTGAAGGCATTGAGATCTTTAAGATGAGTGGGGATATTGCCCCATAGAATAGTCGCTATGTAAGCTATTGTTTGTTTTCCAGAATTGGAGCACGCACTTTTGATATGTATTAAAAGCGTTCATGGCGACTTGTCAGGGTTAAATCAGCTGAGAAGACCAATAACTAAAATCAGCCAATCAAAATGCTTTCCTCCCAGTCAAATGTTTTGTGAGTATTAGACGGGGTAAAGTTTCCATCGACTGTTTTCAATCGTAAAGTGTTGTAATAAATCTCTTATTAACCAAGCATGCTCGGGACTGTACTAGAATATCGGCCCTCGGTCTTTTCAACACGAAACTCGCTGCCACGCTAGATGGTATTGCCAAGATCAAGNTTTTGATATGTATTAAAAGCGTTCATGGCGACTTGTCAGAGTTAAATCAGCTGAGAAGACCAATAACTAAAATCAGCCAATCAAAATTTTTTCCTCCCAGTCACATGTTCTGTGAGTATTACACAGGGTAAAGTTTCCATCGACTGTTTTCAATCATAAAGTGTTGTAATAAATCTCTTATTAACCAAGCATGCTCGGGACTGTACTAGAATATCGGCCCTCGGTCTTTTCAACACGAAACTCACTGCCACGCTAGATGGTATTGCCAAGATCAAGCGCCAATATTTTCCAAGTACCGCCCTTGAGTTTGATTAATTGCGCGGTCGATATAAAAAACACTATTATTCCAAAGGGCCTGATGAACACTCTACGGTCTCTAAACAATATCGATTCACCGAAAAAAAACAACAACAACAACAAACAAAAACAGGTAATTAGAATAAACAAAATTGAACACTTGGGAAATAACATGTTTATAGGAGAGCACAAAAAAGGGAGAGCTTACTTTCTTCCTGTGTACTTACTTTATAGTAAATGGTTTTGCGAAGAATATAAAGGATAACACCATTGTCACAGCTTTTCGGCCGGTTGTCACTGAAGTGGGTAAAATGTATTGTTATTAATTGGTGTAAAGCAGCTTTAATAACTTGATCTAAAATATTGGATTTGGATTTGAAGGTTTACCTGTAACAGCAACAAGAGCGCCAAAGGCTTTGATAAGAGTAAGCACAAATGTGATCCCTAGATATCCTGAGATTGAGAAGATGAATGACAGTCCATAGGCTTGGAAAGGGTTCTGTGAAAACGTAACAAATACTATGCTTGTGTGTAAACTAGTGAGTAAATTGACCATCACTGTCTTTAAAATTTGTTAAGGTATCATGGTAGGTGGATTTACAGTGTTTGGAAATCGCGCTCTTACGCTTGCGCTTTGAAAGAAAACCCATCAACCTATACATTTTCTGAAAGCTCAATAGTCATAGAATACAATCATATCTTTGAAATTTTCTTAAAAGTTATTGTCACAGAAACATTAAAAGAAATACCCAGAAACACTGCTTCGCTTAAACGCGCGTGAATTATCGGAGCGGTGCGATTGACATCGGAAATATTTTCTCACACATCACCCTCAAAAAGGGTGTCGGCGATTTCTCAGATGTGGCTTGGTTTTTTTTTTTTTTACTAAACCCTCCTNAGGGCAATCGACATTGATACACTTAGTTTTAACGTCATTGCAGAATTGTAGTTAACACAAAGCACGAGTGACAGAAAGACATTGATTAGCCTGCGTATAGAGTAACGGGTGCATCATGCAGGTGTGAATATATGGCGCGAGTACACGCGAGGACGCGTGGAGGAAACACACGAGTACCACCTCTCGCATGTACTGCCTCTAGGCATGCGCCATTTTCACTCTTAAGGAAAAAAGCAGCAGCTCAGTACAGCTGTAGTGTCCGAGTAGGAAAAATAGCAAATGCCGATAAGGCTACGATGGCAGACCAAATGCAGCTTCCCATGTGACCAATAACTTAAGCTGGCTAACGCTAGAGTTCAGTCCTTGTAAATCACAATTTGCCATGCGCTGATAGAGCATTTCTCGAAAACCAGCCTTTAGTGAACGAACTGCAAGGTCGCCAAAAACGGCTTGAATTGAGTTTTAAGTCGCTCGGCTTCAAAAACAGAGATCTGATATGTGTGATAGCTTCAAATACTGAAGCAGAATTAGTCTAAAACCCAGGCATTGTTCCCAAGCTCACGTGCATGTTAAATCGGTTGGAAAGTTTATATAGATCCATAAATCTCGTCCTCGACCTTCAAGAAAGTAATAAGTATAGGTTTTCCACTTTCCCTTGGAATCTTTAAGTGCGCCGCAAAGGGCATGATTGATCAATTTAACAAGTAACAATTTTTGTAATGAACCAGAACGAGAGACCACCCACTAAGTATTTTTTTTTTTTCAGTTTAACTCACGGAACTCTTTTCCATAAAAGAATAAATATTCTTTGACTTTCCTTTGAATACTCCCATTCTCTTATAACACAATAATCATTAAGACTTGCAGCATTGGCCGGATCTATCATGTTTATACATAACATTTACCGAGATAAATATTATAAAAATAAATTTTCTACAAGAAAGTATAAGACAATTTTATCACATCCCAATTCAAACCCCGATCAATAGTTACAGTTGGGGTAGTTACAAGTTATTCGCAACTTCACAATAGTACAGAAGAAACTGTGAAATGGCATCCTCGTTTCCTGCACCAGTGTTAGCGAGAGAGCGGTGTCCGACGTCTTGAAGAGAAATAGGCAGTGGACGCTTCATACAGGTGTCCACTTCAGGGTGGAGTGGTGTCCGCTGCTGCGAAGTGTCTATTTTAGACAAGGGGCCATGGACTTAGGGAGGTTTCTGCTTTTGAGATGTGTCCACTTTCGAGAGAAGTCCGGCATGAATAGATGAGTCCACTTCTGAAAAGTGTAAGCTGTCGTAAAATGTAAACTCTGCTTTATTCAACAGGTCTTCGATATCGATAGGCGTCAACTTAGAGAAGTGTCCGCTTCAGTGAGCTCTCCACTTCAGTCCGTTCTTGAGAGGCTCTGCGTTTGAGACTTTTCAATAATGATCCTGACAGCGAGACAGATGGACTTCGTCTCTGATAAAAAAACACCGATGCCATTTTGAAAATTGGACATCAAACGTTTTCCATAAGCGTAGTTCTCTTCTGCCGTCTATGCGACAAGTACGTGGAATATTTTGCTCCGTGTTTTATTACCCACGCGTTGATTTTTGCTTCATTTTTGCTGTAAACGTTCAAAAAGATCCCAAGGAGAACAATGAAGCCAGACCAAACGTAACTGAAAACAAAGAACATTACTTGAACAACAACTTTATTAACTCATGCATTCACAGCTTTTCTAGAAAGTATCTATATATAAACAGAAGAACAGAAAAATAACGTATATTTGAGTCTGGAGACTGACGTAACCCGAAAGTTTTCTAGTCAGTCTCCAGTTATTGTAAGGTTTCTATAAATAGAAAGGAGAAAATCAATACAAGTTTTTAGAATGTTGTCCAGACAGTAAATAAAATTTCAGTTGTGTAGAGAAGTTGAAGGCATTGAGATCTTTAAGATGAGTGGGGATATTGCCCCATAGAATAGTCGCTATGTAAGCTATTGTTTGTTTTCCAGAATTGGAGCACGCACTTTTGATATGTATTAAAAGCGTTCATGGCGACTTGTCAGGGTTAAATCAGCTGAGAAGACCAATAACTAAAATCAGCCAATCAAAATGCTTTCCTCCCAGTCAAATGTTTTGTGAGTATTAGACGGGGTAAAGTTTCCATCGACTGTTTTCAATCGTAAAGTGTTGTAATAAATCTCTTATTAACCAAGCATGCTCGGGACTGTACTAGAATATCGGCCCTCGGTCTTTTCAACACGAAACTCGCTGCCACGCTAGATGGTATTGCCAAGATCAAGCGCCGATATTTTCCAAGTACCGCCCTTGAGTTTGATTAATTGCGCGGTCGATATAAAAACACTATTATTCCAAAGGTCTCTACGGTCTCTAAACAATATCGATTCACCGACAAAAAAAAAAACAACAACAACAACAAACAAAAACACGTAATTAGAATAAACAAAATTGAACACTTGGGAAATAACATGTTTGTAGGAGAGCACAAAAAAGGGATAGCTTACTTTCTTCCTGTGTACTTACTTTATAGTAAATGGTTTTGCGAAGAATATAAAGGATAACACCATTGTCACAGCTTTTCGGCCGGTTGTCACTGAAGTGGGTAAAATGTATTGTTATTAATTGGTGTAAAGCAGCTTTAATAACTTGATCTAAAATATTGGATTTGGATTTGAAGGTTTACCTGTAACAGCAACAAGAGCGCCAAAGGCTTTGATAAGAGTAAGCACAAATGTGATCCCTAGATATCCTGAGATTGAGAAGATGAATGACAGTCCATAGGCTTGGAAAGGGTTCTGTGAAAACGTAACAAATACTATGCTTGTGTGTAAACTAGTGAGTAAATTGACCATCACTGTCTTTAAAATTTGTTAAGGTATCATGGTAGGTGGATTTACAGTGTTTGGAAATCGCGCTCTTACGCTTGCGCTTTGAAAGAAAACCCATCAACCTATACATTTTCTGAAAGCTCAATAGTCATAGAATACAATCATATCTTTGAAATTTTCTTAAAAGTTATTGTCACAGAAACATTAAAAGAAATACCCAGAAACACTGCTTCGCTTAAACGCGCGTGAATTATCGGAGCGGTGCGATTGACATCGGAAATATTTTCTCACACATCACCCTCAAAAAGGGTGTCGGCGATTTCTCAGATGTGGCTTGGTTTTTTTTTTTTTTACTAAACCCTCCTTAAGTTTGATATTTTCAATGCGGACGTTTCCTTCTTCTAAAGAGGCTACAGCTTTGAAACGGAAGCGAAATTAAACAAAGGCCGACACGCTTTTTCGACAGAGGTATCCTGGAACATACCTGCCGATTTTCAGCCAATTTCGTCGGAAGACACGCGAAAACGAACTAAAAATGTTCATCCTTGTATGCAGTTTTATTTTATTGAGAAAAAGACGAAAAACCTTTTACGAGATTGGTATGATTAGGTGTTAAAAATCCCCTCCGCATTGACAGATGTCGGCACGGGTCAGTTTACCACAACAGTGGCTTATGACAACTTGAAATTAGCCTGCGAACAGGCTCACCTTTGAGTCACGCGCGCGAGCGGCGAAGAGCAAGGCGATCCGGCGGCGCGGGAAGGAGTCTGGTGAAGAGGCGCCAAGAAAGAAAGAAAGAAAAGTCACTTTCTAGTCTCGCGGGTTCGCCGTTCGATTTCGCGCTCGCGCTTGTGCTCCAACGTGAGCCTGCTCGCAGGCTGACTTGAAATAAACAGACGTCTACAATTCTAGCGCGGAAACCCGTCGCAGTGAAATCGTCCGAGAAGCGACAAACCACCAAGAGCTTTATACAGGTTTGTATTTAAACTGCCCTGATTTCTTTTACTTAGAAGATTTCGTCGGCGGCATTGGTATTATGTTGCTCAAGTTTAGGCTTCTCCGTTCCCCGGACATGTTTTGAAACCATGCCTCCTAAAGCCAAAGAGAGGAAATCTTTTCATCGTCTACATCTTCATCTGAATACCGTCAACTGATNTTTGACAAGAACGAAAGCTAACTTGCGATGAAACAACCAGATCGAGAACAGTTTGCGTGCACAAATGAAACATCACATTACAAGTGACAAACAGCGGTAAATTTTATTTAGAGGTGTCAACGCGCCGTAAGGGGTTAATGAGATTCAAAAATAGTTTTTCTCTTAATCTAAAACAGTAAAAATGCTTTTCTTACCATTCTTTTTGCAAAATATTTATCTCAATCTTCTGAATTAGAAGAGCAAAAAAAAGATTTTTCGCATTTTACGTAAAAATTCACCTACTATGATACTTTACAAGCTATTTTGCCACTATTGCTATCTCATTTTTCATTAGTTTGAGTATGGGTCCATAAAACAAAAAAACTTTAGTATGACAAAATTTATCATAAGTATGCTGTCAAATGTTATCAAATGACACGCAGTACCACTCAAAAGTAAGTTACCACCGTCTCGAGAGATGCGTATCGCTTCTCTTGAGACATGTCTCCTTTCTTTTCAAGGCGCGTCACGTTTCATTTGAGTCTTTTCTCATGTCTGGTGAATGTACTGTAAGTTTTAATGGTATCCATAGCTAAGTGACACACAATGTCAGTGTTTGAATACAATGATGTAAGTGTTGGGTTTTATAAACTTTCGTGAAGGCTAATTTCCACATATGGTGAGATGAAGACACAGATTTCAAAACCAAACACATGTCAGGAATATTTATTTCGTGCATTCTTACCTGGGCACAAAATCTAAATGCTGGCTCTAGCTCACCAGAAAATACCAGACCAATTAAAATATACACAAATCCAATACCATATGAATACAACACCTGAGAAGAGAGACAAAACAATAACATTACTAGTATCGCTAGTATAAATTCTTGCCACTGATTGTCTCACACTGGTTTTACTGTCAGTTATAAGAATTTAGGGGTACATCAAGACAATATCCCTCAGTTGATGATTTTCTTTATTCTTCTCACCCATTTGCCTCATAATGTACACTGGTGCAATGAGAAAGTAGATCTTGATCTCACTATCCCTTTCAGTCCCAAGTTAATTCTTCTTACTGACACCCATACAGTTCTTTTATTGTCTGTTCTGAGAATTTAGTGGTACATCAAGACAAAATGAATCACTTAGTTGATGATTCTCTGTTTTCTCTACAGGTTGTCTGCTTGAAGGGTGATAATATTATTGTCAGCAGAAACTGTGCAGTTCTAGAAAAAATCCATAACAGCTTACTATGCCAAGGAAGGTCATTGAAAATTCCAGGGGTGGGTGAGGGATATCCAAAGCCAAAACTCTTAAAGGAAAGTATGAACAGGCCAAACAGGAATTTCAGAGGGGTGGGAGAGGTGAAACTAAAAACCTACCATGGGAAGGGTATGGATATTTTCAAGAGCAGCCCATTGAATATTTATTGCTGTTGGGATCGTTTTAGGAAGTATAAATGATGCCAAATAATACTACCCAAAATACTGATGATAAAAAGAAAACCTTAAATGATTCATTAGATGACAAACTGTATGAACATAACTTCATGTTCTCTAGCCTGCGAGAGTGTCATGTTTTTTTTTTATTTTTTTCAGGTCATGTTTCATATCCCAAGAAAAAAGTGTGTGAAACAAGGGCCGAAAAAATGGCAGCTAGGGATAAATAAACTTACCACTTCTGTGTTGGAACTCTTGTGTGCCTTCATAGCCTTCTCTTGTACATTTCCAATAACAGCATCAGCACAGAGAGCCAGGGAAATCAAAATTACACCTGAAACAACATCGAAGAACTTTCAGACTTAATAAAAACACAAAATCTAGATCGTGAGGTGAGGGGCTGAAATTCTAAACATTAAAGTAAACAAAAAAAATTGCTAGTCCTCTCAACTTTTTCATTTACAAATTTTTCAACCATCGAAGACCACTCACTGAACAAAACAACACCTATACAATACACACCAATAAAAATCTTGTCGGTACTTGGTCACAACTCTGCTAACAGCAACCTCTCAACCACGACCACCCCTCTACGATAGCCAGGGATTTTCCTTCCGACATTACTAAGATCTCTCTACAATAGCTGCCTTTTTCCAACAGCCAGTTAATTTTTCTACAGGTTTGCCACTGTAGTGAGTTTCAACTTAATTTAAGAAAAAAAAATAGGTGACAATAAAAATAGGAAACATTGCATCAAAAAAAAAAAAGAGTAAAAATTGGCTACAAAGCATTACCAATGGCTTGCCACCAGTGCACCGCAAATTAACAACTTCGAAATTTGTAAAATTATGGTGCCCGCTCCGATTTTGAATTTTTTATGAGGCGCTAGATTCCCATACAAACCCTTATAAAAACATTGCATCACAATATTAGCATGCCAAAGCTCACCCGTGTGGTTAAATTCAGGTTGAACAGTGCTGTCAGCCAAAGTGAACAGTATTAAACCAATACTCATACAAAGGCAAGCCAAAAAATCAATGAGTCTGTAGGTTTTTCCTGGAGACAAAGGAGAGCAGTTAACATCATAGGTATTACAGCTCCTCAAAAACAAGAACTATATTAAATAATTCAGAGAAACACGCAGTTTTGTTGATAATTTTATGATCATCAACCCTAGCCTTTTGATCACAAGCTAAAAACATCATTCAGTTCATAGATTTTCCTAAATTACCATATATCTCATAGTGCTTACAGATGTAATTACAGTATTACAACTGTGGAAGAGTATATTAAGTCCTTAAACATCTTCAAGCTGTCACCTGACAGATGATCACTCTTTGAGGCAATCTAAAATCCATATCTACATCTAATTTTATTACCTTGTATGATAATACCACCAGCCATCACTGGAATTAACTTGCAGCATTTAAAAATGACCTGAAACAATAATATTGAATGGTATTTCAGATGTACTATGAGAACTTACAACCTCATCACATAACTGTCAGTTAACTCTAGTGGCAAGGAAATGAAGTGAAATCAAATGTGGGCACATTGTAACATGTTAACTAACCAGTACAAAAAAAATGCTTCAAAAAATAAGAAGAGTGCTTCAGCTTTGCTGCATTATAACAAAATAGCTGGCTGTTGTTTAATAGCTGTTATTGCAGTTGAGTCTGCAGTCAAATGTTCTTTGGTTTTAAAAGGCATGCAAACGAGGCGAAAGGGTCAATACAATGCAGAATTGACCCTTTCACCTCGTTTGTGTGTCAAGCCACTGATAACTGCAACAACAGCTATTGGCCACTTTCAGGAAGAAAACCTAAAGCTGGGATGTAAAATTAGACTGAGATGATCAAACCAAGACATCAAACTACTGTAGCTGGCATGTAGCATTCCCTTTAGTAGCCCTTGCAGTTTGCAAATGACAGAAAGTATAATTATTAATAATATAAATTATATTGCAATAAAATATCTTTTAGAAACATTATAGAAGGGCAAAAAGCTCAAGAGCTAGACAACGTTTCGACATTTTAACAACATCATTATCAAGTCAAAAAGTTAAGAAATTACAAATTAATCTTTAAATACTAATAAGAACAATAGTTGCTAATTAAGAAGTAGTGACAAAGAAAATGCTTTTTTGCCTTTTTATTTAACAAAATACAGAAGCCTAAGCCGTGTATTACACTGTGATAAAACACGACAGGCATTTGAGAACACAAGGGAAATGTAGGAAACACAAGTAACAGGTGAATACATGTGTTCTACATTTCTTGAGTGTTCTCAAATGTCTGGAGTGTTTTCTCACAGTGTAAAACACGGCTTAGGCTTCTTCATGTGCTTTATGATATAAATGTAGAGGTAATGTGACGAAAAACAATAAAACACTCTTTTTCTATGTTTTATGCTGTGATAAAACATGGGTTTTTGACCAATCAGAGTGCATGCAAGGTCCTATCTATACTATAAAATAAATCGTATTTTATGTGAAAATTAGAAGATTGTGAAATGATTGTTAATTTAATACGTTATTTATTAAGACATGTCTATGTAGCCCTATTTTTAGGGAAGCAGTTCCCATTCAGGGTTTTCCCTCAATACACATGATTTTTCTCTTCTGTGTATCGCTAAACTTTTAGTGTAAAACATACCAAATGAAAAGAACAGATAGATATGTACTAGTTAAGAGGTTACCGCTCAAGAGATAAACAAAATTGATTTAACTAGATTCCACGTGAAATTCACATACCTGTGTGGGGTAGTTTAAATAATTCAGAGAAGTATTGGATAAACCCATAGTAGCCACAGTTAAAAAGGCAAGAATTGAATATGTTTTTAC